TGAAGCCATTAAGCCGTTTAGGAAGCTCTTCAGCTTATATCAGAAGGGGCCACGACTTTTTACGAGACCTAAACATGCTGCGACACCGTGTCTGCCATCTTGGAGCATATCACAGGCAAGATGAGCGCTAGACAGACTTCTAGTATCTACTCGGACATCTTCGAACTCGACGATTTGCTCTATAGAATATCCAAGCAGGCAGATGAGCAGCATGGAGAAGCAATCAGCTCGCTGGAGAAGGAGAAAGGCATCCTGAAGATAGAGATTGCAGCGTTGCAAAACTCCTGCGGGACGATACATGACACCCTGCAGCGAATACGCGAGCAGGTGACACGCCTGAAGCAGGGCTTAGACAAAACGGTGTCCTCGATGAAAACAGATAGGATCAGATACCTGGCAAACTGCACGGCATTTTAGTCTTTTGCTACTGCGCTGGCGAGCGATGCATCGTCTTCACACTTCTCGTGAGGTTGCCTCAAGACGAGAGTTCCACTGTACCCTGTATGTATTCAAGCTGGTCGGCTCTTTTTTGCCGTTTCTGTTCTCCGCGCGCACTAATGCTCTAGTCCCAATCTGGCTGGATGGCGATCTGGTCTCCCGACTTCCCAGGAGCATCAAGTTACACTATATACAATTGTGAGCCCGAACGAGATGTTGAGCGTATAAACCTACACGGTCGTATTTAAGCTGGCTTTATGTCCGGAAAAAATCTATTGCAAGGTACGACGCCGGACGATGGAGAAGGCGAGAGAACGCAGAGATCGCTTTCCGCCATCGGCCGGATGGCCTCAGGTGCCTACAGACATCGACTACGAAGTAAGAGCGTTGGGAGGCAGGACTCATGTTTTCGACACCTTGCCCGAGAACATACAGGCTCAAAAAGCGCCGGTCACAAAAGAGAAAAGATTGGAAGAGCTCACCCGGGAGGTTGGTCGCCTTCGACAGGAGCTAGATTACTGGAGAAGTCTTGCCAGGAGTGGCTCGTCTCTCGTGACTGAGCTCGATAAGATAGTCAAGCAGATGAACATCATCATCGACACTTTCGACCACCAAATCAGTCGATGCAATACTTCGTGGACCGACAGAGCTGTGCCGAGCGCAGGCTCAGTGCATTCTGTTCCCGTGGATGAGCACGACAACGACAGTTTCTATGGCCAAGATACTCGACCAGAAACATCAGAGGAAACCCTTCAGAGCATTGCTTTCACCCCCTTTAGGACGAGCGACAAGCGATATGACTTCCAGATCGTAAACACCGCAGACCGTCCGTCGACGCCCTCACGTGGTAGCGGGAGGCATAATTGGCTGTAAGTATAGAGCTCAGCCGGGACGGCCGAGTAGACATTTTGTATCTTGGCCAGGCTTTGGGGTTGAAAGATACAGCAAGTTAGCGTGGAATTCGGGATCGCGGACAACAGGCAGTAGGCAATCCAACGTTTGCCAGTGAATTCGTGAATATGTAATCGGACCCTTCTAGGCGAAGCGTTATGTGACTGTACAATAACATATGCTCAGTAAGGCTCTGTGTACTTCCTTCCATATGGAATACACAAATTCAGGGCCCCTGACGGCGCTATGGTTAGTCCACACATGCACAATTTGGATGCGCACACGTTCGGGACTACCTCAGTGGCGGGCTTGCGGGCTCGAACATCATAGCCGTGTTTGTAAGGCATTCATTTAAAAGCATAATACCACCGTATTCATATAAATCAATCTGCCACTATATCTAAGAAGCGCTCCAGTCCTATTCCTTGACGAGTCTCTTCTCATTATACTCAGAAAATACCCATTCCTTTGGTTGACCTTTATAGTAGTACTTACTGCAGTCTATTGCAACCTGGTTTCTCCGTCCTCTCCAGGGCAAGGCCGCTTTTCGGTACAGACCGAAGTCAGCATCACCCGCGTACATCATGTAGGTCTCCCATCCCTTGGATTCCTCGTTGATATTGCAGAGCCGCTCCAGCATGTTGACGACATCGGTACATTCATCGCCCCTCTGATACTGCCAGATATTCACATTCATCTTCTTTCCCGTCAAAGTAGCTTCGCTCTTGACCCCGTCCCATACATGGTCATGAAGGAAACCGCGGAGGCGGTTTGTCTTCTGACACAGTATGTCCTCGTATACGGAGTCACCATTCCAGTCGAGAATGACGAACATGACGTCGATGTCTTCGGTCAGTTCCCCGTTGAACAATAAGGGCAATTGACGCGAGACGGCTATCGCGTTGCAGCCCGTGCTGACTAGCCTGTCGATATACGATAGATCGGCAAATATGGACTCCCACGCCTGGCGATGTCTTTGTGCCTTCTCCTCTAGCGGCCATCCAGAGTGTAAGTCGTGCTTTTCCATCATGGGTGGCGTTTTGACCATCCAGCTCAGACACTCTTTGCCCTCATCAGTCGACAGAGAGAGACGGTACGCCATCTTCCAGGGCATTCGGTGATCACCAATGTGGATGGTCTTGAGGGACCACTCGCCGCAGTGATAGAACAGTAAACATGTCGTCATTCCGTTGGGCCCCTGATCGAATAGTCCCCCGAAGTGATCAACCGTAGTATGATTCCCGTACGGCAGATGGAGTTGAAATCCCGTGTCCATGTCGTACACCGAGGAGACC